TTGTTACAAAACATAATATTATTACAAAGCGGTATTACAGAACATAATATTAAGATTATAAAGCAGTATTACAGAACATAATGGTAAGATTACAAAGCGGTATTACAGAACATAATAGGAAGATTACAAAGCGGTATTACAGAACATAATAGTAAGATTACAAAGCGGTGTTACAGAACATAATAGTAAGATTACAAAGCGGTGTTACAGAACATAATATTAATATTACAAAGCATTGTTACTGCACATAATGTTAAGATTACAAAGCGGTGTTACAGAACATAATAGTAAGATTACAAAGCGGTGTTACAGAACATAATATTAAGATTACAAAGCGGTGTTACAGAACATAATAGTAAGATTACAAAGCGGTGTTACAGAACATAATATTAAGATTACAAAGCATTGTTACAGAACGTAATGGTAAAATTACAAGGCATTGTTACAAAACATAATATTATTATTACAAAGCGGTATTACAGAACATAATATTAAGATTATAAAGCAGTATTACAGAACATAATGGTAAGATTACAAAGCGGTATCACAGAACATAATAGTAAGATTACAAAGCGGTGTTACAGAACATAATAGTAAGATTACAAAGCGGTGTTACAGAACATAATATTAATATTACAAAACATTGCTACAGCACATAATGTTAAGATTACAAAGCGGTGTTACAGAACATAATATTAATATTACAAAGCATTGCTACAGCACATGATGTTAAGATTACAAAGCGGTGTTACAGAACATAATAGTAAGATTACAAAGCGGTGTTACAGAACATAATATTAAGATTACAAAGCGGTGTTACAGAACATAATAGTAAGATTACAAAGCGGTGTTACAGAACATAATATTAAGATTACAAAGCGGTGTTACAGAACATAATATTAAGATTACAAAGCGGTGTTACAGAACATAATAGTAAGATTACAAAGCGGTGTTACAGAACATAATATTAAGATTACAAAGCGGTGTTACAGAACATAATATTAAGATTACAAAGCCGTGTTACAGAACATAATATTAAGATTACAAAGCGGTGTTACAGAACATAATATTAAGATTACAAAGCGGTGTTACAGAACATAATATTAAGATTACAAAGCAGTGTTACATAACATAATATTAAATTACAAAGCGGTGTTACAGAACATAATATTGAGACTATAAAGCATTGTTACAGAACATAATATTAAGATTACAAAGCGGTGTTACAGAACATAATATTAAGATTACAAAGCATTGTTACAGAACATATTAAGATTACAAAGCAGTGTTACAGAACATAATATTAAGATTACAAAGCAGTGTTACAGAATATGATAGAGCGACTACAACGTAGTATTACAGAACATAATGAGATTACAAAGCAGTGTTACAGAACGTAAAAATAAGATTGTTATACTATGTCAACAAATGTGGGTAAAACAACACAGCGTGTGAATGAATAACTGTTGATAGGCATGATTATGTTAACCTTTTCATTATCCACAGTATTCAATTATGCGAGTGTGAAGTGTGTACGTATACTTTGTGACATCATGCTGTTGTCATAATAATATTCACCAATTGATCTTAAACTCCATTTTTCCTTTTTTCAAAACTACTCGACAAAATCATTGATGAAGCAAAATAGTTTGAGACGGTAACAGTTATTATCGACGTACGTCAGAATTGTTTTGTCTCAAAGATTGCTGCATCATTAACACAAGAGGGCGATATAACTTTAAATGCGCATTTTGTGCATTATTATACTATAATACCAAGTCAACAAGCCACACACATGGAGCTCCATGCTGCACTTAACCCCCAAAATATAACTCATCGAACCATCTAATACAGTTCTGTACATGCACAGTAATGAGGAAATATGTTCACAGATATTCTATATTAAAAAAATATTATAGCGTTAATAATAGAGAAAACAGCAAAATATAAAATCAAGAAGACATCCTTGGTATTCTCTAATTAACTCCGCACAAACTCAAACATGACGAATGACTAAGCCACTTTGAAACGCCTTCAATTCAACATAAACTTCTACAATTCACAATTCCTAATAAATATTTCTTTGCAAAGTACCATTGTTTGGCTGTGTTTAAAGCTGAATATTAGTTTTCTGTCACTATTAAAATGAGAATTTTGTTGATATTTCAGCTTAATGTCATGCCAAAGAACAGACGTAGAGACAACAAATTTCATATTTTGCTCTGTTTTTTGAGTATTTTCTTTGGATGAAAGGGGTTGGTGCATTGATAGAAGTTTGAGTAGTGATAGTTTGATTGTTCGTGGTATTAAAATGCTGGTCATTGCATTCAAATAAGAATAATACAATAGCATTCTTATTTGACCTTTGAAACGCTGACACTGTGGGGTATACAGCAGTCACTACAAAAGCCGAGGTGTCTCACCTATATCATTACGTCGTTGTCATGACAGAACACAAACAATACTTTGGACTCCATTTTGAATCAAAAGTTGTACCCAAGATCAAGTTTTCGCCAATTTCAAGAGAAAACAACGATACAAGTTTGATGATTAGATGAATCAATGAATTTATGACGTTATTAGGCTGAGAAACGAGTTGGCCACTGTGTAGGAGTATCGAATCGTGACGTTAGTACGGTGAGGCTTATATTTGTATTGCATGTACCGATGTATCGACACTTGTATCGTTTCCATTGTAGTCACGCTATGAGGATGATTCAGACAAAATAGTAAACAACCAATTATCTATGGGCTTAATATATTTGTGTGGTAATTAAAACAAATAACATCACGGCGTGAAGGAGAGGGAGATAGCTAGTACAATGGGTTACCTCCATGCTAGTATACAACAGGTGTATTGTCTTGTTCGTTAGTTACCTTTATGAATCGTAATTTTATTTTATACTTTTGTCGATAATTTCGCGTAATAAATGAGCTTATCTTGTACTTTGTCGTTGAGCAGTTAGAGGTCAATGCCGAACAACACCGACGGTCAAGCATAACAGGTAAAAACTTGTTGATATTTAAATTAACCATTGAATTCGGCCTTTTCTGTCATATTGAATGCGTCGACCATGGCATAACCGTCTACTGTACAAACCCGATACTTTTACTCGATTCACTTAACCTTTGACCCCAGTCGACAGTAGTTAGACGGATAGCTAAATTTTTATGACGCACGGAGCAACGTCATATTTTTTCAGGATATTGAAAAAATGAATGTACGGCGGTCCAGGTCGGTTTTTCAGCCTGTGGACCGACGGAACAAGCTGGATTCAGAGCTATAGGACTCGTGTGACGTCACCGGGGCATGTATGTGTACAATTTGTACGTATATCAATTTAAATATATTTGTCAAATGAGCCAAACATAAACTATTAGTAATAATTGAAATATGCACACGTACGACAATTAACAAATATTGGTATTGCATAAAAAAGGTGAATTCATTATTTTAAATAATCACATTCGTCCCATCATGATTGGTGCCTGTAATCGGTAAACAAAATGATGAAAGTAGGATGAGATATCAAAACGGTTTAAACATAAAAAAACAAAAAAACAAAAAAACACGTGACCTATCTCATTGACACGTAACAATCTGTCAATGTCAATGTTCGGTGCACGTTGGTCTCGATGAGACACCGGGCGAAGCAAAGACCAGACACTCTGTAATTATTGGATTAGTGGATTTAGTTGAAACATTTCTATCTTGTCTGCGTTGTTGTAATTCCTCTTTTTTCAACAGCATTTCAATTATACTAGGCCAATAAACAACGATTATGGTTGAAAGATTATGTCGTGTATTAGCGGTGGTTAGTTTGTACATTCTTATCTCACCAGGGTGTATACAGTGCAAATATGGCGCTCATATTAATGATAGAGGTATGTAACAATTCATCGTTGTATGTAGTTTTAAATTCATTGTTATTCTAATCTGCGGCCCTAACTCAGTGTTGGTCGTAGCTCTGACGTACAAACTTTGCTCTGACATAAATCTCGTCCATTAGAGTTAAATTAGCCAATCACATTGCAACGGGTTATTTTGTTCATAACTCTGAACCAGTCATGGACAAATATGCCATCGTACTTGATAAATTCGCGAAAAACCTTACAACTATATGATGACAAACTTCCAACACGATAATTTCACACATTCCAGGTTTCAAATAACTACAAACATGATAGTAACTTTCATTTTGGTGGAAGCCACCCAGCTATACCTCAATGCGTTCACACATTTGTATTCACCGGCCCAAAATATCGTATCGATACAATCTCGTGTGTGTCTTTCTCAAAGCGGTACTGTATGTCAACACGCCATTATAGACAATGTATATTTGTCACAAAATCAAATTATCATAATATAATCTAATTCTATTGCACATATAATTGTCAATTTAGTGTTTTCTAAACTATTTTAGTACGTAATGTGACAATTAAAGTGACGTCACTGTATGTGCATGGTGACTATTCTGCTATCTATTCCCTCATTTTTGTAATCAAACTATGAAACGCGGGGATTACAAGATGCATCTTACAGAACACATCGTTTCTTCTTTGGGCAGTATGATCGGGCTAACAACATTATATGCCTATTTGTTTGTTTGTTCGTTACATGTAGATGAAAGGGCTATTGGAGATTGTGGAGGGACGTATGCTGACGATACAGGGTTCATTACCTCCCCTGGATATCCTGATTACTACTCTGACAACGTGGACTGTGAATATTACATCACCGTTAGCGATGGTTACGTGATCCACGTAAGCAACCATTTTTTTTACATTTTTTTAGTTTAAATGTTCGTATTTTGTCATTTAAAACGATTCTGAATATTCGTGACGTTAGCTCATTAACGATATCAAAATAGAGCTTGAATTTTGCTTAGAAAATGTGAAAGAAAATTAAAAGGTAAAATTACTGCCAACGGAGTTAGAGTAGTATATATAACAGTTTTAACACGCAAGACTATATAATTTCCCTTCCATCTCCTACACATCACATCGCATCAGCTTAATAAATCCCCCCACCCATGTTTACTTGCTAAACAGTTGACTTTGTTATTTTCTCACGAAAGAATTTCGCTAGATCAATGGGTAGAATATTTCCAAAGCAAACTGCTGTCAACGTATTAATTATTTCTATTAATATTTTATACAAATATGTATTTTTCTAGCCTTTGATATTGACACATATCTTTAAAACACCATAGGGGTTTCGTGGCAATTCTGTACAAATAACAATTGAGACAGATTAATCGACAGACTATATGTAACAAGAATACGCATTTCGTAAGAAACCTGCGTCCGTAAGAAACCTGCGTCCGTAAGAAACCTGCGTCCGTAAGAAACCTGTGTACGCAAGAAAGTGGTTCAACCCACATTCCGAGTTTAATCAGGAGTTAGTCAGAATTCATAACAAATAAATAATGAATATTTGGCCACGCTAATTAGTTTCGAGTTTCAAATTGTAATCAGATCTTTCATCTTCACACATTACATCACAGCAACAATGGCCAACCCTTTAGTCGAAAGCAATATACACGTACTGGCAGTTCGAAATCTTATATAAATTAGTATTAAAGAATGAAAAAAATAATTATAATAATATTTTTTTTAATATTTTGTTATTACTTTAAATAAATACACACATTTACAATAAAAGTAAAAAAAAAATTATATGAATCTTATTGTAATACAAGTTACTCTAAATGTTATTAATTAACCAGTGTTACATTTCTGTTCATAGTTGATTTTCAGGGAATTTTACTTGGCTAGTTATGGAGACTATCTCAGTGTCTACGATGGTCCCTCGGAGTTAAAACCCAATGGATACTATGAAGATAGGATCGCTTATTTAAAGGGCACTATGTCTGATATAACGGATGTTATAATTTCGACAGACGTGAACATCACCGTGCTGTTCCATTCCGACAGTTCGAACACATTCCCTGGTTTTTACGCTACTTGGACTGCTATCAATGTAAACACCATGGGCATATGTGGGTCGACGTACACCGACGATATAGGAACACTAACATCACCTGGATATCCGGCAGATTACAGCAATAACGCTGACTGCTACTTCTACATTACCCTTTCCTCTGGAAACAGAATACAGGTAAGTTTAAAAAAGTTGTCTGTTAACTTTAATTGAATTATATCTTGGTATCAATACAAATAAATGACAGTTTAATTTATACATGATTAAATGGTTAAATTTGCAAAATGTTTTCAAACATTTTCGTATCATAGGTTATGGGTTTTTCTCAGATTCGCCCAGAATATTAATTGCAAACATCGACAATATCAATTGCATATCACTCGATATTGCACAATTCAATCCATATATACCAATGACAATTTCTACGATAGGTTTCATAGAATGCCATCATGTGATTCCTATTTTACGTCAGGAGTACGAACCAAAGAAACACATTATCTGACGATTGCTTTATTTTCGAATAATAACAATTCTGGCAGGTTTTTATGAAATAGCTATTTTCTCAAAACCAATATTACAAACCATCCAGTAAAAACACACACAATTCTTCAAAGTAATCCATTCTGTGTCTTTTACGTCACCTCTGTATAAACATAAACGCAATTTTCTTTTCCAGTTAATGTTCTATGAGCTGGACACTGAGAGAGACAATGACTTAGTAGAAGTCTATGACGGAGACGGGATATCGTCGTCGGCCGTTCTGATTGGTAGTTATTCTGGCACTGATAGGCCGCCATTGATTACGTCGACGGGCAATTCTTTAACTGTTCATTTCACGTCAGACTATTCAACAACGAAAGATGGATTTTATGCAATGTATAGCGTTGCTGCGTCATTTGAAACTGCAGGTAATGACTCCTCAAATTGTGACATTGGTGCGCGACGGTGTTGTTGTAGCCCGTCAAAAGTCATTTAGTGTACATCGCTAGTAATATTATCTGATCCCTAAAAATGTTACCATGTCATTATTAGTTTACTACCAGTTACAACCCCTTCGTACTTATTGTAGTTGTGTATTTACCTTTCAGTATGCACTATCAGTGAACCAGTGGGCTCGATTACATCAATGGGTGGTACCATTGTATCACACACTTCGTACCCCGGTGACTATTCTAGCCCTCAGACGTGTGTGCTCACTCTCACCAACTTTGAAGCATATACTTACATATACCTTAAATTCTTAGAGATAGACGTGTATGGTAAGTTGGTAGATATTGACATAGTAATTAACATTCATTTTAGATGTCGAAATATTTTTAGTATATATTGTTTTTTTTTTCATCTCAATCTCAAATTGGCATATTTTACTACACTTTTTTTGAATTTCATAACGTCACGCCTATTCTATTCTATTCTATTCTATTCTATTCTATTCTATTCTATTCTATTCTATTCTATTCTATTCTATTCTATTATAGGTTGCAGTGGAGGAGATTATATTAGAGTAGACGACGACAACGAAGAGTTAGGCACAATCTGTGAAAGTTCACATGTTGGCACGGAATTTACAAGCAATACTCTTATAAAGATCACGTTCAATGCTGTGTCACATACGGGTACTTACCAGGGTTTCAAAGCTGTATACTCCTTGTATTACAGAACATACTGTAAGTAAAAACTTGATTGTGTCAATATAATCATTTAAATATTAGATACAACAAATACGGGCAGTGAATTTTCATATACTCGTAAAACTGAGTCTTGAAGGACATATAATGCATATACTTGTTAGTCGTTTTTAATATGTAATGAGTTGCTAAGGAACCAATCATAGAACGCATTCGGTGTCGACATACTTGTTTGGAATCACCAAATAGAGCCGAGGCAGATGATTTGGATAGAGAAATATCCACCTTGATGAAGATGATGATTTAATCACTCATAGTGCACGTGGCACTATATTTGTAATTTGAATTGATAAAACTTAATTACGAATCTTTGAGGACGGTATGATTATGACTTGTTAGCATGATAATAATTGATAATAATCTACCAAACTTATTTTTATAAAGATGAGTAGACTGTAAGTTATATTTTGCATTACGTCCTGTATATAATAGTCGTTTCGGACAATAGCAGTCGGGCACTAATAAATGCCATCGTGAATTGTGCAACAGCATTTAATCTATTGTTTCTGTTGTTGTTGTTGTTGTTGTTGTTGTTGTTGTTGTTGTTGTTGTTGTAATTTATGAAATATGTATTTTTCATTTCTTTTCAGTTTCATCGGACACCTGCGATTATAGCACGGATTTTAAATGTGATAATGGAAACTGCATCGATTCATCATTACGTTCGGATGGTTATGATCACTGTGGTGATAATTCAGATGAGAATTCTTCTTCTTCCACCTCATCATCATGTATGTATATTTTGTATTGGTCTCGTACATAAACATCACTAAACGGTGTATAATCATTCACAGCTAAGCTGTCTTTTGAAATGAACACAACCTAAGGAAGATGTAGCTGACATGACTGGCAGAGCTTGATACAGAATGCGGACGATTCTCGACAATTTTGCTATAAACGAAAACACATTTATATGCCATAGTTAATCAAAAACTATTTTCTTCCTCGTGTTTTTAGTTTTGTAATAATTCTTGTATAAGAAGTCGGTGTGTACATGTCAGCCTTGTTGTCGACTGACAATGTGGACCTTCTTAGGCAAGGATTCATTTAACATCTCTACGTACACAAAACTAAAACAATATTGTTTCCTTCTAAACTTATAGCCACCACTTTGATCATCATTGGCGTTGTAATCGGTGTTATAGTTTTTTTGGTAATTATTATTGGAGCTATTTGTTATTGGATGAAGTCTAAAACACCATCCGCGACGTCTCCTGCTACTACCAATACTACACATAGGGCATTAGCCAATGAAAGGTGAGGTCACGTGCACACTAACTATATCGAAGTTACCACACAGGCCATATAGTGAATACATTATAATGCATACAAGTAGCAACATTCTACGATACAAGCGTACACAGAAACATGTATATGCAGTTTACCTGACAGGTATTTTAATTAGTTAATTAGGAAACCAAGATGACCTTCCTTGTCCACAAAACTATATATTTTCGGAAAGGTTTTTGTATGAATTTAAATTTTTTTTTAGTATTTTTTTTTATGGACACTGTAGTTTGAAATATGCACAAAAATGTGCTTTTTTGGTCAAAAGTGATTTAAAAAAAATAGCTCCTAAACCATGCTTCTGTTTCCTGTCAAAATTGGGTTGTGGGTACATCTGTTTACTAGAAGAAAGTGTCGTCTTGAAAACTGTCTACTAGTTGTCAATTTTGCAAGGCAGCAGCTCAAATTTCACTACTTCAAGTTTATGCATAAATTAACACCCAGGCTTGTTGTCTGTACGATTGTTGTAACACTGTTCAACCAAAAACAATGCCCCGATGTCGTTTTGAAGATAAACACATTGTCAATCATTTGTGAAAATTTCAAAACAAAAGGTCAATGCGGCTAGGAGCTATTTTTTTTTTAAGTTCTAGGATGCGCACTAAAAAGAAGCTAATAATTGCTAATTTGCATAACAATTCACTCAGTAAGAAGTTTGTTAATGCACATAATTAAAATGGCTGTAACAGTTCCAAATTTAAATGTATTATCGTTTTGTTAAAAGTTAAATATAGTGCATAGTATGGAGATCCCGTCATTTCTTTTTTTCACCATGTTTCTTTTTTATTATTTATGTACAGCCTTGCTATATCTTGCTAAGCATTTAAAAGAGAGAATGTTTGCACCTGTTATCTATATTTTAAAATCGTTTTTTGAGTATGTTCCCCTATTCACAATTCTACAGAATTTTAACAGTCAAGACTGTTTGAATAATAAAAAGCAAAAAAAAAAATTCACTCCCAAGTGCCCACAAACCTGCATCTCTACCTTAAATGAATAATAATTTGTTTCGTCAATTTAATTGATCGTTATCAAAATGTTGCTACTCATTAGAGAATTTGTACACTATGCTCAGATAACTTTATTGGTGACGAATTTCACTATCTGTTTGAGTGCGTAGGTTTTCATACGTCAAGGAAACAATTATCGTTATAGACAAACACTATAACAATTATTCAATTTATCAAAATAAACTGATATGATAGCACTCATTTATTTTTTTCACAGTGCATTTCCACCAACCCCTGTGGGAGGCTATTACCAGCCACCAGAAGCAACAACAGTAAACAAAGGTGTCGGCGCAGCTCCAAATCCTTACACGCAAGCTCAAAGTGCAGCTCCAAATCCTTACTATAATGCAAATGAAGTGCCAAACCCGTACGCCAATCAGATCAATCAAGGAGGGTACAATCCCAACATGGTATACAACCCATCAGAACCGGCGAAGGGGAACGATGTCAAACCTCTAATTGAGTAATACTGTACCCACACTGCACTTGTGTTTCCTGTGTTCAAGTTTGAATTTTTTTGTACAAAACCGTCTAGTAGTAAATCTTATTTACAACAGAAAACATGAGTATCGTTTATGTTAATTTGGTAATCGAAGTTATCTTTTTTCATCATCTCAGCATGCGAAACATACAGACACATATACCCTTATGCAGTCATACAAACCCATATACAGCTATGCAAACCCATATGCAGCCACGCGAAACCATATTCAGCCACACAAACCCATATGCAGCCACACAAACACATATGCAGCTACGCAAATCCATATGCAACCACGTAACCCATATGCAGCAACGCAAACCCGTATATACCAACGCAAACCCATATATAGCCACGCAAACCCGTATATAGCCACGCAAACCCATATCCAGCCACGCAAACCCGTATATAGCCACGTAAACCCATATCCAGCCACGCAAACCCATATCACGCCACGCAACCCCGTATATAGCCACGCAAACCCAAATCCAGCAACGCAAACCCATATAACGCCACGCAACCCCGTATATA